TGGAATAAGTCAAAAATCACAAGAGGAAAATAATTTCCATATTCAATTTTTTTTTAATCATTTAAAATGATAGGCATTTCCAGAATCAAAATTCAAAAAGCAACTTTGGCTTCTATTAACCGGCACCCCAAAGATTTGATCAATATGCAATGAAGTATGGTTCACTAAAAAAAGCTCTGAATGGCCCCTTTCAGATCAGAAGGTGAAAGGTGTTTGCAACATCCAGAACCTATTTGTTTGTAAAGGACAGCATAATTAAGAATGCTCCTGGACAGGCAGAATTCCAAGGATACTTAAAAAAAATATCTGAGAATTGGTTGAGTTAGCTTACGCTATGAATAACTAAACCTAAATGAAAGAACAACCAGTTACAGGAAATCTGAATAATTAACTAATCATCCTGAGAAATAGAAACTCCTACCCCAACGCACCTCCCCATTCCCTAGGTGGGAAATCTAACGTCTGAATTTTCTGGATAAACACCATCTTCTGCATCTTTTGCATGCTGTTGTATGCTGTCTCTATTTTCCATACCGCCAGTTTCCACTAATAATTTTTGTTTTCATTATTTGTTTTCCAAAATGAGCTGGGAAAACAGTGCTAGAAATGGACTTTGGATTAAGCTGAACTCTATGTCACAAGCCAGATCCAGTTGTAGCCAGTGTGGAACAGAAAAACCACAACTGATCTCTTTCCATTCAGATTCTCAGCCTCCATGAAACTCCTTCTCTCATCTATTTGTTTGGAGTTCCATTATATTGGAAAACCATTTTTTAAAAATAGTATTTTTCCATTCTGGGCAGGAAGAAGGAATGAGAGTATTGCACTGATGTGATCAACAAGACTGAAGTGGTGTTGGAGTTATCCTAGTAACTAGTAACTGAATCCTGTGTACTTTTTCTCTGACAATGAACTCCACAACATTCAGAAAAAAGCAGTATCGTTTCTCATTTCTCTCACCTTTCTTTTGCGTATCTCACTCCATGTTCTAACCAGAAATTGCCCAAGTTGTTCCCCATTAGAGAGACTATTATTGCTGGAATTTTCATTAACTTCCATCTCAGAAAATTAAATAGTTCAAAAACAATGAAGCATAGTAATATTATATCTTTGATTACTATAAATTAGGCTTACTGCATCCGCCTTTTAAATTGAATCCGGTTCAAAATATCCATTGAAACTGGATTGCATTAAGCTATCTCTGGCCTAGATCAAATAACTTCTGAAGATCCAAATTGGAGTCTAGATAGTCATGATCTAAATTCGAATAACCTACTATAGTCTCTCAGCATAAGAGAACATGTAATGCCAGTGAAAGAATTCTGTATTTCTTATATGCTTTTCCATCTATTTCCTACAGATTCATGTTGTTAGCATGAGCCCAATAACCAAACTTCACAAGCAAAATTCCAGTGTTTTGTTATGATTAATACTGGATTATTATTTGGGGGGACTTTATTATTTTACTTATATAAATTTTTAAAATGCTGTAGATATAAATAAATATAACTAATAAACATATTCATTAGATGAACCTCATAATTCAGAAATACTACATACAAATAATCTTTAAAATGAAGATTATTGCGCTATACACTAGAAGGTATCAAGCAACTCTTACTCTGGTTTTATTAATAAAAATAAAACTGGACTAAAAAGTGGGAGCAGTGTGAGTGCTAGTTCTCCCTGAAAAATGAAAGATGGCTAGGGATTTGGGGCCAGCGATATTATCTCTGCCCAACCTGGTTTCACAGATTTGGCACCAGCTGAGATCTCAGGGAAAGGGAATGGGGTGGCAGCAATTATCTGAGATAATTAGAAGGCATCCAAACAGGTTGTGAGATGCCGTTTCTTAAATTGGCAACAATAAAGGACACCTGTAATGATTGTTATTGTACTAGTCTCCCTTCTATGTGGCAACTTCCCTGCCTGAGCTCCTTGGCACAGGCAGGGGAGGCAGGGAGTTCCCTGGGCTCATAGTCCATGACAGAACATTGGGGCAATGGCCTCTAGAATGGGATACTATTAAATAAACTTAAAAAAAATCACAGGTTGGTTGGTCTAGTTAAAGTAAGGAAAACAGAAATGAGTAAATGGTGACTGTTTTGAAGTTCTGAGAAGTAAAACAGGATATCTGTGACTTGCTAGATACAGTAGAGCTGCATGACTAAGGGAGAAAAAAGTGTGCCTTTGGAACTGAGTAATTTATAAGTTAGAGTCATGGGTCACTGCAGTAGTTGCAGTTCAGAAGAAACAGCACCCTTCTGTAGCAAAATAAATTGTATGATTAAAGAAGACTGATTTCAACTGACATGGATTCACAAAATTTACTGAATATCAATGTTATTGTGATCTTCAACAAAAGACATCACTCCAAAGTCATTACTCTATACATTTTGCCTAATATACCAGAAGTGGTATTCAGCAAGTTCTGACCAGTTCTGCAGAACCGGAAAGTTTGAGTAGTTCAGAGAACCGGCAAATACCACCTCTGACTGGAGATTTTACAGGATCCTTCCCCTGCCATGCTCCCAAGCCATGCCAGCAGAACCAGTAGTAAACAAATTTAAATCCCACTACTATAATATACATATTGTATACACTTTTAAACACTATAAGTTACATCACAAAAATCAGAAGTGCATTCTGGCATATAACTATATTCTGATTCATATATAGATTCAGAAAGTAGAAATGGGTAATGTCTTATTAAACTATGGACTAGTGCAAATACATGACCTAATATAAAGTCTCTAGAATTAAATGAGCCTATTGTATTCTAATTATCCAACCATTGTGAGAGGAAAGTATAGTTTTCTCTTCATACATTGCAGAGTATATCACAGAAGCAGATAATAATCTGTAATATAATTACTAAGTATAATTTAAAAAGCAGCTTTTGGATCATTAATCTAATTATTTAATAAATAACTTTGATTATGTTAACTTTTTGAGAAATTTAAGAGAAAAATCCTCTATTCAATTAAATTCCTTTTTGAAAGTACATGTGGAAAGTTTTTAGACTTTGTTCTTGTGTAATCTTCCAGTGTTTTGGTGGAGATTTTAAGAACCATGAAATTAGTTCTTCACATAAGCAACCTTGGAACAAGGATTTTTCAAATTATTCCAGATAATTTTAAAAATAATTTCTACAACAAATAGTGAGCTTGGATATTAGGGTTTTTTTTAATAAAAAGTAAAATATCTTCACAAAGAAGATATTATTATGTCAGAAGAAATTATTAGCTGATTATGTGCCATCACATCAGTGTTTGACTCTTAGTGACCTTGTAGACCAAGACTGTCAAACTCCCGGCCCACAGGCCAGATGTGTCATATGCTGGCCATGCCCACACCTGGTTTAGCAAAGGGGGAGAAGTTCTGATACATCATGTGACACTGCCATGACAATGTGAGTTTGACACCCCTGTATAGACAGATCGTTTCTAGATTGTTATGTCCTCAAGCTGGCCTTCAGTTCTTCCAATGTTGCACTTTTTGTTGCTGTAATCCAGCTTGCTACTAAAAATCCTCTTCTCCTTAATTCCGCTTTTCCTCCCACTTCCCAATGGAGCTGGATTTTCATATAATGTGTCCAAAATATGATAATTTGACATTTGTGCGTCAGAACTCTGCATTAATTTGATCCATTTATTTGCTTTCCTAGATGGCCAACCATGGTGTTCTCAGGACTCTTTCTTGGCTAGTCATCATATTCTTGCAAGGTTAAACTACTTCGTTCTATTATCAAATTATTTGTGTTCTTGGCTATCCAAAGTTCAAAATTGTCTTTCTGTCTTGTTTTTATAGCTTTTACTTCCATATTATAAAAAGTCCACATCCAGTTAATGCGTGATCATTCTTTTCAGCATTAGATCAATTATTTTACCAATTTTTTTCATCATTATTATGCCAAAAATGTTATAGAAATAATTGCAGCTTGTGTCAAAATATTGTTAGATCTTGTACAATTTATTTGCTATAAAATGTTATTGGCTAGCATCATCCACATAAGTTTACTATGTTAATACATTCATCTCACTAGCTATAGCTAATCAAATTGTTTAATTAATCAAATTCTATTCTATTTACTTTCAGGATATATATGTAAGTATGTGTAAAATTGTCTTATGATGATTTAGCAATATGTGTTTTTTTTTAAAAAAAAAACAATTTGCAGTATTTGGGGAAAGTATTTCAGTAAGTATTAAGTAAGTAAAGATTACTGATTTTTCTTTCCTAAACCACCATAGTGATAATCTTTTGCTCCATTCTTTCCCAAATCCATCATGGATTGTTTTCCAATTTTCTTCATATATATGGTGATATATTACAGCAATGCTGATTTTCTGAATTTTTTACATCTGTGATGCATAGCTTAAAAATGTTTAAGCTGAGGAATATATTTAGTGTCCAAACGCTTGCAAAGGCCATATTAAAATATGGTAGACCTAAACAAAAATGTAATGACAATTTTGTTTAAATATAAAGAAATGTATACAGCATACATGATTATTTCCCTTTGTTTAATTAGTTTCTTCTGTATCATATTAAAGCATTACAATTTTTGATATATCAGGTGGACTTCAGCAAACAGTTTTAGAATCTTTATACAGTCATAGTACAATCTTTCAGCTCAAAATAACAACAAACTTTGGGTCTCCAGATTTCAATGTGTGTGTGTAATATGTCTGTTTGTGTGTGTGCATGTGTGTGTGTGTGTGTGTGTGTGTGTGTGATTAATATTGACTGAATTTTTAAAAATAATTCATTCATTCATTTTTTGTAAAACAGTGACAATGAGATTGAGTGTATGTCACGTATCATGACTTAAGCTTTAAAAAACTATAATTTCAGATCTTCAAATATAAACAAATTATATATTTCTTTCATTCATTATGAAAAATTTTAAGTCTACCATCACCACCACTATCACTAATACAATATTTTTTGATGATTACTTCAATCTAATTTGGTTTATTAATAATTTAGATTATTTCCTAGTCCAAAAGCTCATCATCTGAGTGAGGTTGGTATGATGCTTTCTGAGATCCCAGGTTTTTTTCTAGTTGGAAGGATATCAGATCTTTCCTAGTGATTATGCCAACAACTTCATTCTGCAAATCAACCACTGTTAAGTGACGAAGACCCAGAGATCGAAATATGATGTATGTGCGTTGCAATGAGAAATGAGCGTGAACTGATACTGCTGATTTGTTTATATATGGATCCTGAAAGATAAAGTAAAGAACAGATTAGGAGAAGGATTTTTTTTAAAAAAAACATCTCATTGGTAGTTTAAAATGATTTTTAAAAACTCAATTACAACAACAATTGGGACCAGAATTTCAGCTGTTAAGTGAATCACTTAGGTTATTAAGAACAAGGATGACTAGATTTAAGAACAGTTTTTATCCAAGTGCAGTTTTGAGTTTGAATGCAGGGTCATAAGATTTTGTGGAATTTAATGGCTGAGAGTAATGGGGTATTTACATTTTTAAATTGTATAGAGATTATTGTATGGTCTGTTGTGTTTAATTTTATTTTTCTTTCAATAGTGTTGTCCAGTTTTACTTGTGGAAGAGCACCTCATTTCGTTGCACCCGCTTGCAAGTGTAATGACAAATAAAATTCTTATGTCTTATGTCTTATGTCTTATTATGAAAATCACATGGTCATTAAGTGAATATTGCTTCTCCAACTGACTGCTTGCCAAAAGCAGACTGGCAATCATTTGATCCAAGAATATGGCAACCATTACATGCCAATTGGAAGATGGAAAAACAATTAAGTTGTTCAATTAGAGAAAGATCAATGTCTACATTTATCAATAAGTAGAAAGCCTTATAGACCTTTTGCTGAAAAAAAGAGAAAAATGAACTTTAGATAGCGAGGGTAAAACATAAATGCATTACAACCACAGTCAATTTTTTAAAATTTATTTACCATTTTTCCTTATTTTCTTTCTTCTTTTCTAATGTGTGTACTGTTTTTATCTAGTTAGATATTTCTTCAATAAAAATTACATTTTTAAAAATAGCATATTTTGCAGAGGGGTAAGCAGACCGGTATGGGTTTTTTTTATTTTCATTTATCAGTTCCCTGCTTTTCATTGCTATATTATTAGAGGCATGGTTAGAGAAATTGGGGGAGAAATGAATGCAGAATACAGGCTGCATAGAAATCAAATCAAACATTGACTTTAAAAGGATATGTTCTATTAACCTTGCATCTTTTTGATAATCTGGAACATTTTAATTGCTGGCCCACATGCAATGGTTGTTTTCTTCTTTCTTTTTTTTCTTTGTTGGCTCATTGTATCAACATCTGTTATGTTTATATAATATGAATTAAAACTCAGGAATGCTGTTTGTACTCAGTTACTTTTGTTGAGAGTATATCGTCCCAGGATTGGCAGTGTTTATGTAAATCAGTGTAACTGACATAGCCGTCATAAACAGAAGAGAAAATATAGCAAACACATTGTATGCAAAGAAAATGTGTGCTTTTAGAATTGCTTTCACTCTTACCAGATTGATGAAGAGTTGCTGATACCGAGGGTCTGTAGTATAGCAAGCCAACATAGCAGTCATCCACTGCTGATTGGGCAATTTTTCAGTTCTGATCTGGAATATACAGTATAATTACTGGAATAACAATATAATTATATAGCACACAAACACTCCAACTGAGTAGAACAATTCAATCAGGTTGGCTTTATAGCAAGAAAAATAAAACTCTGGAGCACTGAAGGATGCATGCATTATGATGCAAAATCCTTGTACAAAATTCAATATTGACTTGCAATTTTTCTCTCTGAAAATCATTTTCCTATGCAGTTATTTTTTAAAAAAGCAACAAGAGCTCTTTTTAAAGACTAAGATATATTAGAAACTTTATTACATAGAATTAATAAAATTGCAAAGTCCAGTAAATCAAGAGCAGCTTAAGTTCAAGGAGAGAATACAAGTCAATAATTATTTATATATACTTTGTTTTACAATTGTTTTAATTTATAAGGCTTCACAAATACAGCAATATTCTTAAACAAGTTTATTATAGCAATACATAATAAACAGAAGTAGAAAAATCACTGCATAAACCATTTCAATTTTGGTAAATAAATCAATTCATTATTAATGAATGAGTGCCATTATCAGATAATTTAGTATACAGATGTAATATTTTTGGAGCAAGTGTTTGATAATCAAACAATCATATACTAAAGCAGGGGTGTCAAACTCAAGGGGGGGCAGATCTGGCCTGCAAGATGCTTAGATCTGACCATAGGGCCTCCCTGGAAGCAGTGAAAGACAGGTCCGTGGTGCTTCTGCCAGCAAAAATGAAGCTCAGGAGGACTGCGGACGGCCCTGTTGAGCTCTGTTTTTGCTGGCAGAGGGTTGTGGGAGGCCGTCACAGCCGAAAATGGAGCTTGGGAGCCCATCTTCACTGAAAGAGTGCTCAGGCCACAACAGGCCCTCCCACACAAGTGACATTGAACTGGCCACACCCACCCTGGCCACACCCACCCTGGCCATGCCCACCCTGGCCCCCTGAGGTCAAACACAACACTGATGCGGTCCTCAATGAAATCGAGTTTGACACTCCTATAATAAAGAAAGAATTAAGGAAGCTTGCTTCAAGAAGAATATCATTTTTGCAACTCTTGCAACTATAGCTATTTAATCTTTGTTGAAGTAATTGTGGTAGAATAGGAAATGTATTTCATTCAACAAAAAGAAATTTTTAAGAAATACAAAATGAATAGTGTGTAAAAAGATAGGTAAACTGATTGGTTTCTTGTTTATATTTTTCAAGCATTGACAAGATTTTTGAGGACAGATGTCAGTATGGCTTTAGTGATGTCAGTGGCGTAGTAGATAATTACTATAATAGAACTGCACAGATCTATATAAATTGTCTCTAAACTTCTTGTGAGATCAGGAACTAAATGTTCCTATGTAGAACTTGATGCATTCTGAAGCTCTATCCTATTATTTTATTAATTAAAAATGGCTTTGATAAAACACAGTTGCAGGTTCCTATTGTAGAAATACAGTTGTGTGCCAAATCAGGACTTTTGAAATGTAATGTATAATGTCTCAGTGGAGTAGAATAATGAAGAGGGGAGGGGAGGGGAGGGAGGGAGGGAGGGAGGAAGGAAGGAAGGAAGAAGCAAGGAAGCCAGAAACAAGGAAGGACAATGCATCAACTCACAGAGTCCTACACTATTTATTTTAAAACCTAAATACTGAATTGTTTCTACAGTGAACAACCTACCCCTAATTAAATTTTCATATGAGAGACAATTTAACAAGAAAGCAAATATTACCTTCTGATAGGGTAGAAAAGGTGGAGGGGATTCAGTGTCTTCCATTTCAAAAATGGTCTCATTTTCCAGTAACACGCAGAGCTCAGGCCTAGTTTCACAGAAAGCATATTTATCACCAGATGAAAGACCATGTCTAAATCTTCTATGAGACTGTTTTTGTTTTGTATATGGCAGAATTTTGAATTTGTGGATTTTAGTTTTTTGAATTTAGCATTGAATTTCTTATCATATTTGGTTATGGCTGCTATGGATTATGGGAGCCATAGTCCAAAGTCACTTGTGGACCCAAGATAGATAATAATCTCTGCATCAGGATAATAGCAGTGCAGAGTTTTGCACTTGTACACTTTTTTAATTTCCCTGAAAGATGGGAAGCTTAAGGAAAGATATTTTTATATTTATCTCAATGTTCATTTTTAACAGATTTGTTAGTGCTGATACACACAGAGACATAAATATTCTGATAATTAGTTTAATACAATAAAGCATATTTAAAACACCAGAGAATACTGAAAACTACTTTCAATGTATTTCTTATATTAATAAGTATAAGGTATGGATAGGTCATCATTCACATATAATAGAATAGACTGCATTAGATTAAACTTTGACATCTGATCTAGATGACTGTAACATCTTTGATCTTTATTTTATGTCCATAACATCTATGTATATCAAAACAGACACCTCTTCAATTTTCAATCTATTGATATATAAGCATACATAATATGATCCCAATTTAGTTCCCTCCAGACAGGTGTGGGGTTCTACCGGTTCTTCTGTCCACTTCTGTAGAACTGATTGCTATGAAAAGCAGCAAACAGAGAGCATACATAGAACCGGTTCTATGTCTGCTGCTGTTTTGGTCCACATGCCCACCCAGGTTCTTATCTGACCTTTATTTCCTGCGTTTTCAACCACAGTTGCTTTGCACAACACAGCTGCAGTTGAAAAAGCAGGAAAAAAGTGCTTTTTCAACTGCTGCACACCCGTGCGCAGCGCTGCTCAGCTGTTCAGGCAGCTAGATGACGGTGATATACATGCACGCACAGCAAAATGTAAAATTACCGAACTGGTGATTACACCGGTTGGATCCCATTCCTGCCTCCAGATATGTTTGCTGGAAAATATTGCTAGTAGTAATTAAAAACCCAGCATGACACCAGTTGGGGGATGGACAATATAGGCCATCCACCAAACAATGGAGATATTTCTGTTGGAAAGTAGTCTTACCATTTCACTAATTTAGATCCTCACTAGTGACTTAAGACAATTGCTATCATAATCCAGTCATGCTTGAGAATATCTGTTGTGATTACTGTTCTGATCATTCCACATAGCAATGGCTAGATAATTCTAGATACTATAAAAATTATGGGCCTCTAGCCTTTGTTATTTGTTTTAAAATCTGTTTATTGCACTTGACTCCTGGGAATAATGTGATATTATACATTGATATTAATTTTACAGAAAGAGAGTTGAACTTTCCTCTTAAACATTATCTGCATTTATCCTGTTATTTATTTATAGAAATAAAATAAAGTATTTTATATTTACAAACATCTTTTATAATACTTTGTATTAAAGATCAGTATTATTGTTGAAACAGTAACTGTGCAAAATCATGTTCCCCTGTGGCCCGATCCAACTTTCAATAGCTATTATATTGAACTGGCTTGAAATTCCCTCACTGGGAAACATGAGTTATATCATGTGTTTTTTAGAAGAATAGACAAATGATCTAAGCACAAAATGAGCAAGGTTGTATTCAGTTGCCTTCCAGTTCACTCAGAGTTTTAATAAATAGATCCATTAATTTAGCTAAACAAAATGTTTATTTGCTCATAAATAGAAAAAAAAAGTCATTACAATATGGTAATCCCATAAGATAGTTCATAGCAGTGCACTTTTACAATCCAGCTAAATATTTAATATTGGCATTCTTTTTATTTGGTCCTGTAAGGTCTTGTTAATAAATGACTTTCAATTTAATTAAGTTTTTTCAAGATATTGTTCAATATACTTAGATACTTCAGTATCGCTTGTATTCATACAAAACAATTGACCTGGAATCTTACTGTATTCATTCACAATGTGTAATTGTACATTTAAAGGCATAAATTGCACGTGCATAAAGAAAGAAACTTCACTTGTTTCAAACATGAATGATAAAAAATAAATTGATAGCTTGGAATTATAATAAAATTTAGGGTTATAATTTATTATATCTGAGCAGGTAAATATTTTTAAACTGTAGTAGTTGTTGATTATACCAATAGTGGTGTTTTTGTACAGTTAAAATGTATGATCCATTGAGTATAATGATAAAGAACACAAACATTGGTTTAGCATAAGCGTTTGGCTAGCGGATTCAAAATTATTCAGTATTGGTCTGAAATAAACCCACCAGGGCATCATAGAGGAGTCAGACTTTTTTTTTGGGGGGGGGGGGGATCTCTGTAATGAAAAAGACATATGTACACATATTGAAAGAAAGATTTAGAATACAAGAGAAAAATGAGAGTCCATTGTTTGACTTATACTCACTGAAGTCGCACTTCAGAAATATAACAAGCTTACTCTTTGATGTTACAGATATCCTTCCTATCATGTCTTCAGTTTTTTTAAAATAACAGCCTGAGCATGTTTCACTATATTTTCGCATTAACAGGAAGTTCTAGAGATCAGATATTGAACTGCCAATTGTTCCTCTGTTCTTTATTTATTTAGAAAGGAAGAAATCCCTTTAGAAAAAAAGTATATTTTACAAAATAGCCTGGCAAAGTGTTTTATCAGTTCCATTTCATAGTATAGCCTTTACAAAACAAACATCCTATTCCCAATTAGAATAGCACACTATTACTTCCAACTCTTGCATTAAATACTAACTTTCCCATTGCTTATGCTGAAATCTATAAGCTTGGGAAATGTTTTTTGCATTAACCCTTGTGAAAAACTCCATTTATCTGTTACACATTACAATGATAGAAAATTTTAAAAATTGTTACAAACCAGCTACAAAATATATACACAGTAAGAGTCTTTCTGCACAACAACATAATGGCACAATAACGTCTGCATGTCTAATAAAAATGTCTAATTTTTTACACCAATTTACTAGTCACCCAGATGATAACAATACTGTAATATCCAGTAGCTAGTTCAATTATTTTTCCTCGTTTCTTTTCAAATTCAATATTTTCAAGTGCAATCTTTCTTCGTGATTCAGTCTATCATTCAACTATATGGCAGTTTCAAAATGCTTCCTTTTTCTAGAGGAAAGTGCCAGGATTTCATTTGTTCAAATTTTCATTGTTATATCCCACTCTCCCTGCCTTTCCCAACTAGTTTCCAAATACTAATCTTATATTATAGGACATAAACTGATGGATTGTAAATAAGAAGAAAGCAAACTGCTAGCCAGTTAGTCCACTATTTTTCAGGCAAGGAAGATGATGGAGACCTTCCAGTCTCACACATACTCAGCAGAAATAACAGAGGAACCTGGAAACAGGCAGGTAGATCACATTTTCAACTCCTTAAATTAGGTATAGCCAATCTAATGCCTTCCAATATTTTATGATTCAGTCTCAGACTTCAATCCCAACTATCATAGCCAATTACAGAGATAATGTTCCAAAACATCTGAAAGGTATTAATTACCAATAAGAATGACAAATCCTTAAAAGTATTCTCATAATTAATCGCATATTCATATTATATTTCCATTCTAGTCCCAAAATGACCTGTGATCTTTTTTTTTTTTTTTTGTAAATTTTATTTGACTTTTCACAAAGAGAAAAAAAATACAAATAAAACATCTTTTTTGAAAGCAGCATAATCCCGGGTTACATTTCTTCATACAGACACAAATTCAGGTTCATGCTCATTTTTATATTCTATTCCATATCTTATTACTATTTTACATTTTCTGCATAGCTTCTCCCCTCTTTTAATTTTCTCAATTTTATTTTAATTATCTCATCTCAATTCAAATCATTTATATATATTTTTTTGTCTGTCCTGTTTCAATTGTCTATTATCTTTTCTCATTAAACAAAATTTCTCCTGTAATTACTGATTGGAGTATGACGCCTTTATATCTTTTCCCTAAAGTTGTAACATTCAATATAATACACAACTTCCATTCGGATTCTGCTTGGTACATTCTTAAAATACACACTGTATTCTTAAAAAAAGAAAAAATTATAAATGTATATAATTAAAACAACATTCCATTCCAATTCAATTCTATCATTAATATTAATATTCATTAAAGTCTTTACATCTTTAACATTACTTTTCAATTAAATATCATACTTCTATGGGAACAATTATAAGCTTTCCATAGTTAATTCCACCCCCTCTTCACTTATATTTTATAAAACATTGACTAATTAAAATGTTCCCATTCCTTCCTAATTCAATTTTCTCATTTATTTTATTTCACTTATTTTATTCACAAACATTTCACTAAATTACACTATTTTATCCCTCATTTTAATCATACGTTGTTTCCAATTTTCTAAAGTTATTTCTATTACTAATATAACAGTACAATCTTATGTACCTTTACAGAATCCCTTTTTCAGTTAGATTTTCACCCATTATCTCTAAATAGGTCCTGTTTTTCTATATCTTGCTCCGGTCCTTTGTAACTTCTTTTCCTTTCCTTCTTCCCTCTCTTCTTCTCTCTCCCCTTTTTACCCCCTTGTTTCTCTACCTCTATTTCTCTCTTCTGTATTCCCCTTTTTTGTTGCTTTCCAGTATTATACTTATTTTTCGAATTATTTTTCTTTTCTTTGGTTGTTTTTTTAAGTCTTAAATTCTTCATTCTCTTTCCCCCCTTTCCTTTTTCTTCCCCACATAGAATTACTTGTTCATTAAAGATGGCTTCTTCTTTGTCCCAGTCTTCTTGTTTTGCAGTCTTTTCTTGTTGTTTCTCATAGTTCCAAATCTCCATTTCTAAGAATTGAAAAACAAAGCCAAAAGAACCCTTCCCTTGTGCATCTTCTTTGTACTTTTTAAGTTCCATTTTCAATTCATCCAGAAGTGGTGCCATTGTATAAATTTTTAAACAACCACCCA